TTAAGTCAAGTAATATTCTTGCTTGATTTGACTGGCGACGACATATTTATTAAATAAATATTTAGAATCTAGTTAGGTTAAGCAACCATATTACAATATATTACAGAAATCTTGTTAATCTCAACTCATTATAGGACCAATTAGTACTTAAGCAGATTACTAGTCTACATCATCAACTTAATGCAGCAGGCTTAGAAGAGTCAGTGACCAATATAAGAATAGAAGATAGTCTTTATCTAATAGAAATGTCTAAAAGCACTTGACAAAATAATATTCCTAAAGCAAGTACTAAACTATAGAAAAACAATTTAGCTTGCCTAACAATGCTAAAAGCAAAAGATCTGTAATTAGCTTTTAGTTTCAATTATAAAACTTTAATTTATGATGACAAAAGTACAAAAGTGTATAAAATACTAGAAACAAGATTCATCCCAATAGTTGCACACAGACTAAAAGAACTAGGAATTGCTTTTATACATCAGCTAGTAAACAAAAATAGTGACAAAATGATTATATAGTAACAACTAAGCCTAGTAAAAAAAAACAATGCCAAAGACAGATCAGTCAATTGGTTTAAAAACTTAAAAATAGAGATGATAAAAGAGCCAAGCTGTAGAATGATAAAACAGAAATTTAAAGTAACAGCTCCAAACAAATGAAGAATAAGTGCACAAGTAAGCAAGTTCTCAGATGATGCAAGATGAAAAGAATAGGTTCTTATAAACAATAAGCTACATTACAAAAAAGATGAACTTGTAATCAGAAGAATCACATCTAGAACATCCAAAATACTCTAAATTAAACACTGGAAGACAAGATTTCAAACAGAAAAACAAAAAACTATACTAGAAAAATGCAAAGGTTGTTTGTATAATGATCTTAGTTCTGTTAAAAGTTATGAAAAAAAATACAAAAAATACAAGATTCAAGGTTCTTTATCAAAGTATATAAGGAAAAAAGATATCTGGCAGTTGGAGATTAATATAAACATATTAGAAGTCACAGCACAAATAAAGAAGAATAAAGTACTAGACACAGAAAGACATATAAAAGAAATTATAATAGAAAATATAGATATTGAGATAATCAAAAATCAAAGAATTAGTAACAAACTCGTCAACTTATTTATAGAAAAACATAAGTATATTCAGAAGAACAATACTCAAAAAGAACTGATCTTTTATACAGACAGGTCATTAGTAAAAGAAAAAAATGAGAATCAAGACTGAGATCGAATGGAAGCAGAGTGGTTGCAAGTGAACAAGAAAGAAGAATATGTAATCGACAAAGATGCTATTGGAGCAAAAGAATGACCTTCCTCAACCAAAGTTGAACTGTTAGCAATTTGGTATATAATTCTTATAGTACCAAGTAAAAGCAAAATTAAAATATATATGGACAGTGCAGTAGCTATAGTAAGTATATTCAATAGCAATCAATTCATAACCAACAGAAGAAGAATAAAAAAGAAAAATTACAATCTAATTATAAAAATAGAAAACATAATGAAAATTAAAAAAATAGAATTAGAGTTAGTAAAAGTAAAGGGTTATAGCAATAACAGATAAAATAATAGAGCAGATGAATTAGTAAAAGAAAAAGCAAATTTACTAGATTCAGATAAAATTATAGTAGAGCCAGTTTCAAGATCTAATATATCACTTCTTTGAAAAAATATAATTATAAAAAGCCCAACACGAGACTTTGTTAAGGAAGTTCTTAATATTAAAAACAATGCAGATTGGAGCTTTTCATCAATAGTTAAAAAGTTAAAACCAATACAAGAAGAAAAGGAACACTACTAGGTGTTGCTATAAAAAAAAATCAAAAACCAGAATAGAGTTAGATGCAGCTTAACTAGAGAAAGTAAAAGACTTAATATACTTTTCAAGTATATATAAGAAAAAATGCTAACATTTAAAAAACTAGCAACAAGACATCCAGACCTTTATACAAAACCAAACTGTATTAAATGCAAAGAAGGAAAAGAAGAGGATTAAGATCATTTAGCAGTCTGTTTAGCTTATAAGAACTTTTGGATAAAGGCAGAAACACTAGCAATAACAGTAACATGAAGTGAACTATTAAAGAACAAAAAAAAGACACTACACAAATACAACTAAAAGAAGCAATTTGAGGCTAAATAAGAGAGGAAAGAACTAAAATATGAAAGAAGCTTATCAAAGATCTTTTGCAAGAAAAAGTAGTTGAAAAAATATAAGATATACTAGTCTTACTGAAAGAAACAAGAAACTTCTTAGTAAGCATTGTAGATATGATATGGAATAAGTTTTATAAAATAGTATAAAAAGAAAGATGCAGTAAAATATGTGAATAGAAAAAAAGTTAAGACATTAGTACAAGAAGAAAGAAAAACAAAATTCAAGCTTTAGAACAACAAATTAGAGGGTTGAACTATAATATAGGTGGGCAAATATAATTATTATAAAATTATAATATAAATAACTAACTATTTTAACTAATTTAGATTTAATTAAGATTAGGTTAGAGTTAGAGTTAGGGTTAGAATTAGGTTTATAGCTTAAATTAATTTAAAATTGATAGTTTTCATATTATTATTTTATAATAAATATAATTTGCTCATCTATATTATAGATGATCCAATTAGAGTAGTAAATAAAGTAATAGCAAGATCAAGAAATAAAAAACTAGAAAAAAAAGTGTATAAAAAAAAAAAAAGAGAAAAAAAAAAAAAAAATAGAAAATTTATAGAAAAATATAATATGGAAACTAATTAATGATAATAGAAAGCCTTACTAGAATGGCCTCAAAGGCTAACCTAGATAGTTCTCTAGCAATAAGTAACAACTTATGCTAGTGTGGCAGGCCACCTCTGGGCACTAGTACAGTAGCCAGAAGATGTCAAACCTAGAAATTAAGCTAATAGTTATATAATTAAATATGCAATTCTCTTAATAAAGGATATTGGCAAGACTGCCAAAGTTTTTTAAAAAAAAAATATATACTAATAGACTGATTATAACCCTATTAGACTTTTTAAATTAGAAGTTTGAAAATAATGCATATATATATTAAAGTATTTTAGATATGTTATAAAGTAGTACTAATGTTTAAATAAACTCTGTAAAAGCATAATAGTTTAATAGTTAATCCTAATTATAAGTATTAGTTCTAATATAATAATACTAAAAATAAGTATAGAAGGTTTTAGAAGATTTATCTTAAAAATAAAATAAATCTAAGATTAAAATAATAATTTAAATATAACTTAGTAATATAATACTAATTGCAAATTTAAAAGATTTAAAATAAAACATTTAAGCAAAAACATTAGATACAGCAATTAGTAAGGAACCTTCAAGTAGTTTCTTTAAATAGGTAATATAAAAATTTACATATGTAACCAATTGTACATTCTTTTTGTAATAGTTTCTAACAGAACATGTTACCAAAAAAGTGTTAATAAAAGTCAAAAGATTAAAAAGATCACTTTAATATCAAAAAAAAAACAATAAACCTTTTTTATTTAATATAACAATATTAAAATCTAATATAAACTTATAATTATAATTATTCAATAATTGTAAAATATAAGTCTTGTTTTTTTTTTTTTGTTTATATTTATTTTTTTTTTATTTTTTGTTTTGTATCTTCTATTGTTTATTTTTATACTTCTATATTTTTTTTTCTTTTATTTTTTTTGAAAAAAATATTATCAAATTAGTAATATCTTATTGTAAGGTAACAGTCAAATGCATTCTTGGATCTTTTTTCTTAAAAAATTAAACAACTAATGCAAACATATTACTTGTAAGTGCTTATAAAAATAATCATAAAATGTTAGCTTAGTACATTAAGTTTAAAAGTATTCAAGTATAAGTGCATAATATCTTAATAAAAAGTGACAACAAAACTGCCAAAGTCAAGAGAAAAAAAATTGAATCAAATAAAAATGAGTATTAAGTTACTAGAAAAATAGTTGATATATCTAGTTAAGGATTTGAACAGCCTAAAATTTTTCTTAATCGTTTAATTTGGCCGGTATTAAAATAATTCCGGCCCACAACCAACATAATTCTGCCCGGAACTATGGAGCAACTTTAGACGGTTAAACGGTTCCAATCCCTACATAAAGAAAATGAAAAATAATCTTAATCTGACTAAAAATAAAATTTTGCAGACATTTTTATTAGTGAATTTGTAAATCTAATAATTTCTATTTTTGGTAGAAAATAAAAGAGAAATTTTGGGATTTTGTTCAGACTTCAAGGTCCGGATTTTTTTCTTCAAATTTCTTGACGTAATTTATGCTATGCAGCTTCTATCTGTAACTTTTCAGATCATTAAAGGTAATTTCTTATGCTGATTTTTGAGAAGTAAGCGATTTTTGATTTGTTTTGAATTTTCATGATCGTGTTACGTTACGCCTGATCTTGAAATCTGATTCGTAGTTCAGGAAATCTGCGCCACAAACCCGAGAATTGCTTACTCTAAAAAAATCAATGGAGGTTTGAATGATAAGTATCCATTGACTCCATTAAGGTTATCCATGCCAATTCTACCTCTGCGTGTTCGAATTGTTCATTTTGTTTCAGGGACTTAAATTTTCATTAAAAATAAGTATCTTGCCTCCAAAGGAAAACCTATCATCGAAATTTCAAGTTTATTGTTTACCGGGCTCAGTCCATCTGATCTTTTTATGGATTGTGATCGGTAAAAGGTTTCTCTTGGCGAAATCCGTATCTTGGCATTACTCACGTGATCATTTGAAAGTAAGTAATGTTCATGTAGATCCGTCTATTATCGTTTATAAAATAGTGTTCCACAAAATATGCAATCTTGTTACCCCAAATCATTCTAAATTTTATAAATACTACGAACGAGTTATCATAAATAACTCGAAAGGTCATGTCGTTCACTGCGTTAGCACGACTTAAAAAACGTAGATTATTAGTCCGTTCTCTAAAAAAATGGATCCCAAAACTTCGGTATTTACACATATATATTATGATTTATTCATTCAATTTATTCATATACATTTATTTTTTTTCCGACAGTTATCTATTGTTTGCGGTTGGAATAGGGTGGCTTTTTACTTTCCCATCGGAACAATATAGCAAACACACCTATATATCGGAGAATGCTCTTCTTCCTGGTCAGGTTTGTAACTTTATTTGCTCAATTTCATGTAAATATTGATTTAATAACCTAATCTGTAATTTTTATACAAAATTTAAAATCCTAATAAATGTAGGTTAATACATATTACGGCTGGCAGCAAGTATTTGATGCCACAGCTTATAGAGATCGCATCAAATCAATGTCAAATTCATCAAATATAGAGTAGTGTTTCACTGTCTATTTTCATTAATTTTTATTTTTATTGAGGATATTATGCTTAATTATTAATATTATAGGAAAATAAATTACATAGAAGGGGAATTGCGAAGAGCTGGATTAAAAACAGCTACACAAAATTTTACTGCAATATCCTCAGGAAAGGTCTGTCAAGTGACCGATGTTTTTACAGAGAAATTCCTGTTATGCTGGTTATCTTGGTTGAGATTTTATGTAATTTGAACTTTTCAGGTTATATCCGGAATTAATGTGTTCGGAGTGTTGAGCTCTCCTCGTACTGACGGCACGGAAGCATTGGTTCTTAGCGCACCGTGGAGATCTAAAGATGGCGTAACTAGTAAGATTATCGAATTAATGTAGGCTACCAAAGTTAATCATCAGTAACTTAATATATTTTTCCCTATATTAGCCAATATTAATGGAATAGCTGCTGCTCTATCATTGGGAAAATTCTTTAAAAGTACAGGTTCTTGAATACAAATTGTAATAAATTCTAGGAGATAGTATTATTGAATTTAAGACTTTTGTAACAATCATTTAAACTTCAGATTATACATATTGGTCAAAGGATATTATCATTTTGATAACAGATGGGGGTGAGGTTGGAGTACAAGCTTGGCTAGAGTCGTATCATGATCATAAACAATCAGGTAGTGATTCAATGAAATATTTTATGGCATATAATTTAAGTATTAGCTACCTCTGATATTGTTATGTGCTTGATCAGGTATCGAGGCATCTCCTTTATTTTTACGGTCAGGTGCGATACAAGCTGCCATAAATTTGGATTTTCCAGGAACTAGTAATTATAAAGCATTAGGATTGTTTTTTGGTATAAATCTAATATAATTTTTAAATTCAACTCTACAATACATCATAATTGATGGCTAAAAATTTTATAATGTAACAGAAGGCCTCAATGGACAACTTCCTAATTTAGATTTGATTAACACTGTCGTACGAGTGTGTCGTATGTCAAGTAACATTCCCATAATGCTTCGTGATTCCGGACGCTGTTATACACATTATGATTCTGGTGATTACCAGTCTTCTTTCTATAATCTAATAACATTTATGAAATATCAGGCTCTAGGACATCCAACTGGGAGCCATGGCTTGTTTTTTAGGTAAATTACTGACTATAAAGTATTATTTATCTGTATAACCTTGAATATTCATGAGTTTAATTACGTGAGCAGATATAAAATTGATGCAATTACTTTATATGGCCAAGTTGATGCATCAATTGGAAATTCTTATGGTTTTTTTGAAATTGGATCGTATGTTTATAGTCATTTTATTATTCATTTTGCTTTCAACATCTATATATATTGTTATTGTGCAACAACTATCTAATTTTGTCAAATCGATATCAGCATTGTAGAGTCAACGTTTAGGAGTCTAAATAATCTATTAGAACATCTTCACCAATCTTTTTTCTTTTATCTTTTACCATCACCGGAGCGATATATTTCCATTGGTTCATATTTACCACCTGCCATATTATTGGCAGTTGGATTAATATTCCATATATCCTTTGCACTTGTCATTTTTATCTATTATATGAATATTAATGTTTTGGTTATAATTTCCTTAGCCTTTTTCCTTTTCTTTTTGTTGTTTACGCCTTAGAACTATGGGGAACCACTAGCGACGATGAGACAGATTTAATACCTAATAGTAATCATGTTCAATCGTCCAGTCCATTGAATAATGAGACTAATGTTCAATCGTCCAGTCCATTGAATAATGAGACTAATGTTCAATCGTCCAGTCCATTGAATAATGAGACTAATGTTCAATCGTCCAGTCCATTGAATAATGAGACTAATGCGTCTACACCCCTAGCATATCTAAGGCGCCCGAGAGAAATTTTAATGCCAGTAGCTGCGCTAGTTATATCTCATTTTGCTGGGTTTATCATTTTCTTTGTCGTAAAAAATCATTTTAAATTTTCTCAGATATCGAGTATTTTTGGAATCGATGTAAGTGTAAAATTAATTTATTATCATTAAATAATCCTATTGTGTAATTTAGTACAGTGAAATAATTCAATGCTATTATTTTGATTAGGGATATTTATTTACCTTGGCGATAACCACAAACATATCAATAATAGCTACAGTAAGTTTATTAACAGCCTTCCAGAACCGAACTCATAAAATAAAATTCAACCACCATAATCAGTTGTCACCATCACCAGATTGGGTAATTCTTAAATCGTTTATATTAGCTTTTACAGCAATGATAATATCATGTTTATCAGTATTAAATTTTAGTTTAGCAGTATTTATATCAATAATAGTTGTAATACCATTTTCGTTATTTCAACCAAGTACTTATGAAATGATAAGATATTTGGAATTAATAGTATTAGTTCTTATTTCACCACCAGGAATATTGATTATTTCAAAAATCAATTTAGAAGAATTTCTTAGGTGGACTATAATGGAATATGAATTACTTGGAAGTTATTTTTTACCATTTATTTGTTGCCTGTATTGGCCAATTATTTTGGTTTATGTTGTAATTATATTTTCACCTATTAAATGATTACAACACGATTTAATTCTTTTCATAAAAAAATAGAAACATTTTTTTGTTTAGACAAATATTACAAATAGATTAAATATTTTACAATACTTATTGATTCATGTATATATTTAATGAGTACTTATGTATTATATCCTAATTACTCTGAGTAGACTTACGTATACACATTTTCGCTATACTTGTTAAAGGCATCAAATAGAATTTTTAGTATGTAAAAGATGCATAATAGAAAAGACACCAATTAATTCCATACGTAGATAAAGGACCCAATATTATACAAACAATTTCTCGACCAAACCCTCTCTCCACACATTGTAATCTCCTTCCTCTGCCATTGTTTATTTAACAGCTGGTCTGCTTCGAGCAGGCAGAAAACCGCGGTTGATGCCGCTTCTTACACGCTCTACTGTTACGATGATACTTGGCGCAAGCTCACTAAGTTCTGGGAGTATATTATTGTTTCAGTTCGAATTACTTAGCCAACATTACTTCGATTGAATTTAAATCCTTTAACTGCATTTGTTTCCAGCTCTCCCACCAAAAATTACTCCTCCCTTGTGATTTTTATCCAATTAGATCGAAAGGTCAGGTGTGATGAAATCATTAGGGTTAGGATTAAATCACGCTTGGGGAAATTTGTTGATTAATTTTTTGTGGGAGATATCGAAATCGATTTTACATTCCGCTGAATTTTTATTTCTCAATATTTTAGTTATACATGTTCATCCAGTATAGAGGATAAAGGGTTTATACTCCCTGATTTTCCCTGATTTCCTTCGATTTTGGCCAACGGCTGTGATCGACAAAAATCTGGTCCATATTATACATAATTTTGGCCTATATTTTTGATCGTCGCTGTTGGCCAATCAAAATCGTGAATTTTCCGCGCATTTTTTTCGTGCGGCACCTATGTCTTATGTAATATCACCCTGATAAATCGCTACTTCAGATGCGACATTTATATAATAATAAATTACTTGATAATGATCTAATAGATTTTATATTTTTTTTTGCAGACCTTTAAACAGTTATAATATCAAATTGATAAAATTGGTGGTTATAATTTTATTCAAAACTGGTTAGTTAAAAAAAGAATAATAAGAAACTCATATTTAGTAAGAAAGTATATATATATATAGAGTTAAGTCAATAGAAATTAAGCAAATTTTTTCAAAGTAAATTTTTTGAAACTTTAAACAAAATAATGAAAATTTTATTAATTTAATAAGAGCATTATTTTATAGTAATAAATTGCTATGATGATTCTATATAATTGTTAATCATGAAATTAAGGTCCTTATGTTCAGTTTGAGTTCAGTTTAGTTCAGGTTGAACCTAAACTCAAACTGAACTCAAGCAGTAAATTTTACTAATTTCAAACTTGAACTTAAACTCAAATTTATAATTTTTGAATCTAAATCAGACTCAAACATAGCAATAAATTTGGTCTAAGTTCAGTTTAAAGTTTATAAATAAATTTGAATTCAAGTATAAAATATTTAAAAAAAGATTTGCAGTCTAAAGTTTAGCAGACTCAATTTCTAAAAACTTTTTAGAAATTGAGTCTAATAAACTATAACTTATATTATTATATAAATCAAGTTTTAACTTATATATTTTTTTCTTATTTAGTCAACATATTATATTGTATATTAAAACAATAAATATATTTTATAATTATAATAATAATACTTATAACCTGTATTATAATATAAATAAAGTTTTAACTTATATATTTTTCTTATTTAGTTAACAAATTATATTGTATATTAAAAGATCAATAAATATATTTTATAATTATAATAATAAGAATATTGATCAGATAATTAGTATAATATTAATTATAATAATTTAAATATTTTGAATTAGATTAGATTAAGAAAAAAAATTAGTCAACTAATAATAAATTTTATATCTATAAAATTAAAAATTACATTAAACATCTTTTATAATGATAGTAATTTTAATACAATTACTAACAAATATACTATCTTTATTTCTACAAATCTAGTTACAAAACTACTATTATATTAATTTTGACAAAATTTTTAACTTACATGCTAACTTTTTTGATATTGCATACTCTGTAACTATTTGACATCCTTTATATATTTTACCATCTCTCTCATTAATAATTAATTCATAACAATTATCTTATATTTTTCAGTCTAACCAACTTACTGATAGTTTATAGTCTTTTACTAATTCTAATTACAATTTAACTATCATTTATTTTATATTGATGATTCTGTTATCAAGCTTGGTATTTCTTAATGTTCTATAGGTATAGGTTGGGTTTAAGTTAATAATTCTATAATTATTTATTCATTTTAGATATAAGTTAAACTCTGGTTATATTTTTTTAAAATTGAAATTCTTGCTATTCTCTTAGCAATTATAACTACTTCTAGAAACTGTTCTGTTTATATATTTATTGACTCACAATCTGAAATCTTCAAATATTATAGTATCTGTTTATTAGCATTCAAACTTTCTTATACTCATATCTTATACTTCTCTATTTGGTAAACTTTTATCAATTGCATCAACTTATACAATATTTAGCTCATTTTTTACAAAATTATTATATACCAAAATAATCTATTTAATAACCTTGCTAACCAACTTGCTCATAGTCATCAAATATTACTTTTTTAATATTCTTAATTAACAACTCTTATAATCTTGACTATACTCTATTTATTAACCAATTTTTTATTAAGATTTCTATTTAATGCTCTATCTATACTATTTGTCAAACTTATATTATAATACTTTGGATATCTCAACATCATTTCCAATAATGGTCTACTATTGTCTCTAATATTAACTAGAAAGCTATTTGGCTTTATATTAATAATAATCAAAAGATTTCTAACTTTGTTTTTAGCTTTCATTCTTTTATTCTAAAAATCTTTTGTATTAAATTTTTTTTTTAGATAAACCATCTGTTATTTACACTCTTCATAAACATAACTTTTCTTATTCTTCACTCTTTTATCAATATAATCAAACTAGCTTTTCATTATACTAGATTCTTTGTTCTTTTTTTAAATAATTTATCACTTAATCTCTAATTCTCTTAATTATATTTTAAATTATATTGCTCTTGACATATTCACTAACCTTGTCTTTAATTTACATTAAGAAATTCTTATACTTAATAGCTTTAAATTACACAACTCTTTACACATGATATCTCTTATTTCTACCTTATCTGGTCTAGTTCCTATTGATCTTATTTTTACTATTTATAATACTTCTATTTCTCTTTCTATTAAATTTCTTCTTTATTTAAACTAACAAATATATAAATAAATATGAATTTCATATTATATTTTATGTTCTATACAGTTTCAAATTATATTTACTACAAATTTAATTTATAGTTCTCTTTTTAGTTTTCTTTTATCTTTTATTTATATTATAAAATATTACTAAAATTGACTTTTAGACTATTCAATGAATTAAATATTATACTCATTTCTCTTATATTATTACTAATATTCAAATCTAGGTGAGTCTTGACTAGTTTTATAGGTTTAGTTTACAGATTATATATTTAAGTCTTTATTCTTTATATGTAATTTAAGAGCAAGTTTTTTTTTATAAAAACTTCAATAAAGTTAAAGACATAACTTCACTGTTAATATTTTAAAAAAAATAATAATTCAAATATATATTTTATATTTTTTTTCTATTAACTCTCTTGTAACTAGTTATTAATTATATAATTATTATATAGTAAAAAGGTTAAAAAATAAATATTTAAATTTTAAAGATAAAAATATAAATATTAAAGTTAAAATTAAAATTAAAAATTATTAAATTATATGTAAAATTTATCAAAGAATTTTTTTTGTTAGAACTTAAACTATTATTTTATAATTAAATTTTTTTGCTATAAACAATTTTTTTAAAAAATATAATTATTTTAAATTTTTAATATATAATATAAGATTTTTATTATTTTGAATATATGTGTTGTAATGCACTCATAAGATTAGATGTATTGTAAATTCAAAACAAACTAATTAATATATTAATTTAGAGTAAGGACCAATATTAAGATAAGTCAGGATTAAGTAATATTAAAAATAATTTTTATATCAAAATTTTACAAGAAATTTTTTTATTAGAATATGAAAAATGAATTTATAAACAAAATTTTAAACTACAAGTGTTTTTTAAAAAAATTAATATTTTTTTCGATTTCATATTACACCTAATCTTACAATCTGATTGGTTAATCAGATGGGTGCATTACAATGCACATGTGCTAAATTATATAAATCATAATATAATTATTTATTTTACTAATAAATAGTATTATTAATATTATTATATATAATAAAAAAATAAAGTTATTATAGTAATTATTTAATTAAATATTTATATTCATTTTTTTTATATTATAAATATATTTATTATATAGCTAAAATATTTTAATAAAAGAAAAAAGATGAAAGCCTACTTGGAAGACCCAAGTAGAGAGGTAACCTGAGCTTTCGATGATGCTACTGTAAAAACTAGACTTATGAAATAAAACTAGAATTTGTAAAACCAAGCAAATATACCAGTCCTTAGAGAGGGACTAGATGAACCAACCAGGCCACTAGAATTTCTGAGTTCTGAAGAAAAAGAGTACATTTAGCAAACATGTAAACCAGAGATGTATAGTTTCAATCTACCTTTCCAGGCTATCTGGAATAGCAGCTTGGTGAAACTTGAATTGAATATCAAAGTAGTAAGGATATATTGTAAAGTCATTATCAAGGTTGGGATGAACTCTACAAGGGCATAATGGTTTAATGATATGCCTTGACCACTAGTGTTAGTCTCAACTATAGTGATACTGGGTCAGCTGTAAGAATGAGATATAGAAGATTCTGGAAGATTTAGTACAAGGTCAAAGGTTTCAAAAAACTGCTTTATAAACTTAGTGGCTATGGCATATTTTTACCAGCATCAGCTAAAGTTATTGATAGGCAAAGGTAAGT